CTCTATGTCCCATTTGGGTCACTTCAAGGCGATTTGCCTTGTGGGGCCTTGAGAAGCTCCAACTGAGCTTCTCCCATGGAAGGGGTTGGCCATCCGTGACATGGCGGCCTCCCCGGATGACGTCATGGAGGCGGGAGAATTTGGGGCTTCGGGTAGTGGGCGCAAGTATGTCCAGCGATTCAAGAGCCTTGTAGTGGGGGAGTGGGCCTGGAGGGGACGGACGGGACTGAAATGCCTGAATGCCGGAACTCCGCTTTCATTTGGGATTCTTTGCCTTGGGCTCAGAACTCGTGGCATATCAAGGGCTGTTGTTGCGAGCATCTAGGCTCCAAAGGGGCAAACCCATTGCTGGCTTCTTGTGGCACCCTTAAAACCCCCTTTTGTCTTTTTTCAGTGGGAATCCCGCTAAGAAAGCGGAATGAACCGGCCAAACAGACATGTTTCAATTATTTGTTCCTAATAGCATTTGGCCCCTATTTTAACGCCTCCGGCTCAGGCCGCCGACATTACAGGCCTGCTTTCTTATTTGCGTCCCTTTGGAATTGTCCCCTTGCCCCCCTTCCCCTCTGAGATCTTTGCCCCCCTTTCCCTGTTCAGATCCTTCCCCCCTTCCCCCCCTAAGGCCTTTTCCCCCCCTGAGATCTTCTTCCTTTTCCTCCCTAAGATGTTTTCCCCCCTTTCGCTGTTGAGATCCTTTCCCCCCTTTCCCCCCTAAGGCCTGTTCCACCCTGAAATCTTCTCCCTTTTCCTCCCTGCGATCTTTTCCACCCTTTCCTTGCTGAGATCCTTCCCACCCTTTCCCCCCTAAGGCCTTTCCCCCCTGAGAGCTTTTCCCTTTTCCTCCCTAAGATCTTTTCCCTGTTAGCCTTTGTTCCACCACATCTTCTCCCTTTCCTCCCTAAGATCTTTTCCCCCCTTTCCCTGCTGAGATCCTTCCCACCCTTTTCCCCCCTAAGGCCTTTCCCCCCTCCCCCCCTGAGAGCTTTTCCCTTTTCCTCCCCAAGATCTTTTCCCTGTTAGCCTTTTTTCCACCACATCTTCTCCCTCTTCTCGCTAAGATCTTTTCCCCCCTTTCCCTGCTGAGATCCTTCCCACCCTTTCCCCCCTAAGGCCTTTCCCCCCCTGAGAGCTTCTCCCTTTTCCTCCCTAAGATCTTTTCCCTATTAGCCTTTTTTCCACCAGATCTTCTCCCTTTCCTCCCTAAGATCCTGTTGAGATCCTTTCCCCCCTTTCCCCCCTAAGGCCTTCCCCCCCCCCTTTTCCTTCCTAAGATCTTTTCCCCCTTTCCCTGTTGAGATCCTTTCCCACCCTTTCCCCCCTAAGGCTTTTCCCACCCAAGATCTTCTTCCTTTTCTGAGATCCTTTCCCCCCCTTTCCCCCCTAAGGCCTTTTCCCCCCAAGATCTTCTTCCTTTCCTCCCTAAGATGTTTTCCACCCTTTCCCTGTTGAGATCCTTTGCCCCCCTTTCCCCCCTAAGGCCTTTTCCCCCCAAGATCTTCTCCCTTTTCCTTCCTAAGATCTTTTCCCCCCTTTCCTGTTGAGATCCTTTCCCCCCCTTTCCCCCTCTCCCCAGTTCCCCCCATAGAATCTTTTTCCGCCCTTTCCCCCGAAGATCTTCATTTCCCTTCACTTTCCTTCACTTCGGCTCATGCCCCTTTATGTCTGTTTTTGTTCCCTTTCTTTTTCATTTCACTTCATGTCATTCATTTCCATTCAGTTTCCTTCATTTCCAGATGTTCCTTCACCAGCATGGGCAACATCCCCAGCATCTCTTGCATCATCCGTATCCTTGGCATCCGCTGATGCGGATGATGTAGGTGATGCTGGCGATGTTGCCCAGGTGCTGAGGATGCATAAGTGGACCGGGGGGATCGAACACCCCAATGTTTTTACGCAACTGTGTTCCGCACAGCCCGCAAAAGAAAGGATTTAGTGGAACGTCTTGGAATCATCGCGTGGTACGTGGACCCCCCCCGGCCATGGTCTGAAACCGTGCCCTTGGGGGGCGTAAGGGGAGGGGTAAGGGGCATTTCTTACACGCCGCCTGTTGTCGGCGGATTCTTGCGAACAACCGGGGGAGGTTAAATCAAGCAAGCAACCCGAAAGGACCAATCATGCGGGAAGTTGCGGCTCAAATCCCGTAGCAAACACCGGCGCCAGGAGCTTTTGGACTTCTCCAACTACAAGAAGAAGGCCGATCACCGATCGCGATGTTGGGCGCTTCGCTGGGAGATGTAGCTTGCTGCGTGCCCCCACAAAGACAAAGGAGGAGGCTGACTGCCACTAACAGTGTTCCATGTCACATGAAAGACATATCGCTTCAGCTTGCATGATCAACTGTATACCTCTCCGTAGCCAAAGCTTGCATAGCACAGGTGTAAAAGAAGGAAAAGGTACTTCGCAAGCGATTCGACAACTGAACTTTGAGCCACTCTACATCAGTGCACTGACAAACTCACCTGCCCTAGAAGACATCCGAAAAAGCTTCGGTCCTTTGGTTTGGCGATGCGCACACTCGGGTTGCCATCCCGACATTGGTGAGCATTCAGTTGCGCGAAGAATGCGTTTGCCTTATCCACACCGTGCAGTCCGTGTCTTTTGGCAGTCCAAGATGTTTTTTTCTGCCAAAGAAGTGATGGTCACCTCCGTGCACGGGGTCCGGCAAGGGCCGCAGGTGGCCATGTGCTCCAAGAGCGCGGTCTACGAGAGGAAGAAGCTGCGAGGCGGCAAGGAGGAGGTGAAGGCGCGGTTCTGGAAGCCGCGTGCGAGGAGGGATGTTTGATTCCCCGGCGTAGGTTATGTGGCGGCTTCCTTTAACGGAGAAATTGCTCTTCCAAGAGAGGCCCCTTGATAAGCAGCTGATGTTTTGACGCCAAGAGGAGGACACAGCCTCGCTTTGGGGACTGCTTAGGACTGTAAATGGCCAGTTTCGGTGTTTCTGCTTTGACACCAGGGTATGATTGTATTGAGATGCCCTTCTTCCTCTTCTTCTTCTTCTTGTTCTTCTTCTTCTTCATCTTGTGTCATTTTCTTATTCGTCATTTTCTTCTTCTGCTTGATGCTGACGGTGTTGTTGTTGTTGTTGTTGTTGTTGTTGTTGTTGTTGTTGTTGTTGTTGTTGTTGTTGTTGTTGTTGTTGTTGTTGTTGTTGTTGTTGTTGTTGTTGTTGTTGTTGTTGTTGTTGTTGTTGTTGTTGTTGTTGTTGTTGTTGTTGTTGTTGTTGTTGTTGTTGTTGTTGTTGTTGTTGTTGTTGTTGTTGTTGTTGTCGTTGTTGTTGTTGTTGTTGGTGGTGGTGGTGGTTGTGTTGTTGGTGTTTCATATTGATGTTGCTGTTGCTGTTGCTGTTGCTGCTGCTGCTGCTGCTGCTGCTGCTGCTGCTGCTTCTGCTGCTGCTGCTGCTACTGCTGCTTCTGCTGCTGCTGCTGCTGCTGCTGCTGGTGCTTCTGCTGCTGCTGCTGTTGTTATTGTTGTTGTTGTTGTTGTTGTTGTTGGTGGTGGTGGTGGTGGTGGTGGTGTTCTTGTTGGTGTTTCATATTGATGTTGCTGTTGCTGTTGCTGCTGCTGTTGCTGCTGCTGTTGCCGTGGCTGTTTCGACGGGCATTGCAGGGACACTTTCATCTCACAAACCAATGTGGGCACCGGTTTGGAGACCAGCCCACGTTCCCATGCTTTTTGCGCAGCCTTGACCTTATGGAAAAAACATATTCTGACGTGACTCAACTTTCAAGCGGTAGCCTTCCTGCGGGCATTGTTTTCAATCCAAGAAAACGCTCCTCCCCTTGAGCTGGAGCCGTCTGCCATCGCCGAGGTGGAGATGTCTTCCACCATCATCCCAGGCTTCTCCTTCAATTGCTACTTCGATCATACCGCCCGGACCCCACAAGGCAGTTCGGAGAATTTACCGAGGGTCTTCATCCCTAAACACGCCAGGGAGGAAATGGCTGAGATAAAGCAAGAGTCATATATTGGCACTTGGAGGGTTGGCTGCTTGTGTAGGATTCCAGCTATATTTCCCCTTCAAGGCCGATTTTCGACATCGCCTCCGGAAAGGGGCCAATTTGTTTGTTGAATTTCCTTCGGCCAGTTGGTAGGCTGCTGCTAAAAGGGGAAGCATCGAACAACTTGAGCTCATGACAACCGGCCGTTAAACAATCTTCAGCGGGTGCCCTCCAAAAATGCACCCCGTTTTCAGTACTCAAGGGAGTGATCCGGACACAATTTCCTTGAAAGTGGTCTGCCTGGTAACAGACAGGAGACATGGCATCAGCTGTCTTGTCCCTCACCCGTCGCTTCAAAGAATAGCCTGATTCACCGCCTCGTGTTAAAAGTGAGAGTTGAAGAAGGGACAGTTTGCCTTTTTGGTTCCCGCTTTGATCAGTATTTTCGCGATGGCCAACGAACATGCAGATTTACCGCACGGGGTTTTGCAGCGTCCTCCCTTTGCGAAGGGTTTGCACGTTGTCCCGTTGGGTTTTTGGACAATCGAGGGGAAGTTTGTTTTGCTTCGGCACCATTCATTTTCAACCGGAAGGTTTGCGCACACGGCACCTTGCGTATGGATCAGGCCAGGCACTGAGGTTGCACAATGCATTTGAAAGGGGCCAAGGTCAGAAGTGGTGGGACAAAAGAACAGTTTCACTTCATGTCTAGGGCCGGGTGTCGAGGTCTTGTTTCTATGGAAGCTGACCGGGCGGAAGAAAAGCGGCTGTCTGAAGGCCGTGCTCGGTTCTTGGAAGGGATCTTGGATGCAGGTTTGTTCTTTATTCAAGAACTTAGCGCCAGAGCGACAGGGTGACGAGCAAACCCAACTTCGGAAGTGCCCAGCCTGAGCGGCTTCAGCCACGCCACTCTCACCGTCCTATCCTCTTGGGACTATCAAGGACATGTTTACACGCGTTCGCGACATGTTCTTCCGTTGTTCTGCCCATTGGCAATAACTACCTCAACCCTGGAGCCAACCCAACACATCGAGAGCACATGCTCGATCATCAAACTGCTTTGCTTGACGAGGGAGAACCGATGGCGACGCGTGCCTGACGCGTGGGTAAAGCCCATGGCTCAATGGCCTGCTGCCCTTGCGTACCGAGCAAGACTCCAAGCAATCGGGTGCACCTGGATGTGCCTTGGAGCTTTTGCACGTTGTTGTTGATGTGCATTGAGGTGGTGGATGTTTGTGTTTCATGTGTTTGTTGCGCTTGCTGTGTTTGATGATTTCATGGATTTGGGAAGTTGTGTCCTGCATGATGTGTTGCCATGCAATGCTTTATGTTTGCCTCGGTTTCGCGGCAAGGATTCAGAATCCTTCTTGCCCTCTTGGTTTTTGCCCGTCCAGAAGCTGGTCATCCGGATAGAGGAAGATCCGTGTAGACAGGGCTCTTGGTGGCTTTCAACATTGCTTCTTCTTGGGCCAATTTAGAGCACATGTCATTCAGGTGGGGTGATGTTGGAAAAGTTTTTTTTTTTTTTTTTTTTTTTTTTTTTTTTTTTTTAAATATATAATACATACCTAGACACATCCAGACGGGTGCGTCTACCGGAGGGTCAAAGCAGAGCAACTGGATGTTCGTGCAGTTTCTTCGCCGTAGTATTTTTACTCGTCTCTTCTTCGTCCTGTTTTTGGACCTTCCTTCATATAACATAGTGTGGCCAGCACATTGAAAGCATTCATTTGCTCGTGCCAAATGATAAGCATACCCGCTCATGGCCCCAACCCTACCTGCCCAGCGCTGTACATCCAACTTGATACGCCCTGTTAGAAGCATCAACCTCTGTACAAAATCAAGTTTCTAGCACTACTTCCCCATGCTTTGCAAGCATCCCTCTTTTCAGAGTGCCAACTACACACGGAGTTTGGGCGATTTCTCAAAAGACGGTGAACGCTTTGGCACTGGAATGAGCTTCCTGCACAAAATACCTCAGCCTTATGCCGAGAGCATGCTCGTCCGGCAGCCACACGGGTTGCCAAAGTAAACTCTAGCAGGTGTTGACAAAGAAGGTGTTTTATTCTCCCTGCATTATGTGACAGTGGTGAGTAACATGATTTTAAGCAGCCAGACCCTGGCTCCTGGTTGGAAAGTTTTCCTCCCATATATATTTTTGTATTGCTCAAACAACATCGGTTTAAGCATGTTTGAAGAAGCAGTTGGGCTTCTTCAGCTTGTAGCTTGCGAGCCACAGGTTTGAGCTCGGAGTCTTCAGGCATCCTTTGCGCAGGTTTTTTGCCATTGTGTTTCAGGTAGCCCTCGGAGCCTCAATTGGTGATTGGATGGTTCGGTTTGGATTTTCAGGCTTGGAAAAGGTTCCTTTGGGTCCTATGTTCATGAAGGAGAGGGACAAGGTTCCTCCAGGAAAGGTTTGTATGTGTGATATGCAGTGTTGATGGAATAACTATCGGTTTTCTCTTGTTTGGTGGTTCGGAGTTGCCACGCTCGCTAGACAGTCCCTTGGGGCCCTCGCTCCTTTGCTCGCCCATGAAATAGGATGAGAGTTCCCAAAATGGTTTCTGGGATTCTGCTTGGTTTTCTTGTGACCACCATGCAAAAAGGAGCTGTCTACGCAGCAGCCCCCTTTTATCATACTTATCAGGAGCATGGTGAGGTGTTGCGAAGCAAGGGGATTTTCAGTTTGTTCATTCCCATATCTATCGCGTCCGTCTCCATGATACGGGGGCTGCCCTACATATTGCAAAGGGAAGACGGGCCAACCCTCCCCTCCGAACATCACAAAGCTGTCGCGAGGTGGGTGGCCAGCGCTTCACCACGGCCCGCGTCACGCTGACGGCGGGGCGAGCTGCTGGGTCCAAGCTGGCGGAGCTTGTGGCGGGAACACCGGAGGCGGATGGGCGCCTTGGCCCTGCGGGGGTTTCTGCGACGGGGAATCGATGGGTGGTGCTTGTCCCTTCCCCTTGTCCCTTTGAAGGTTGGAGGAGCAGCCCAACGGAATCCCCGGCATGTTCTCGCGGTCCTGTTCTTTTTTGACACATGCCTGTTTGGGCCCGTTTGGCGTTTGGCGCCTTGAAGAGGCGATGTCCGTCGCCCGAGGTCCAACCACTTGTGCGGACACCAAGCTTGATTCTCCCTTTCCAGTTGGAACAAGTGTTCCCCAAAAGCTACAAGGGTTCTTAGAATGCTACACTAAAGGCAAAGGGTGGAGCTTCTGTTTTAAGGCTGGGATTTGAACCACGCGCCCACCCAAATTCTGTGCCCTATGAGGTGCATGACCATCCCTACTTTTGCCCAAGGCCCCGGCCCACGAAGCAATTGGTCAGTGCCCAACAAACCAACGTGGGGCCCATCGAATTTCAAGGGTCAAACTCCCCCCCCTAGATTTCGTCGAAGAAGGGGACTTCGAATTCTTTTGTACACCGCCCCAGGGGTGCTCCCCGGGGTCAAACTCCAGGGGTCAAACTCCGTATGTGGCAAACATTCTATGAGTGCATGGGTGTCTAGAGTCCCTATGAGGCCATAACCATCCGAACCCCGAGGGTTTTCTGACCAGTGAGCCATATCGCTATTCGCTTTAGTATCTGCAATGGTTAGCGGATTTTCACACCCAAATGATTTCCACAAAGAGTCCCCAATGACAAAAAGAACAAGCACAAGCCCTCAAAGCACCGCTTACTTGGGCTAGGGATGGTTGTCGAGCCCGTAACAGGGACTTTAGACAACCACTGCAAGGGTTTTTTCTTCCGGAAGCTATGACCCACACGAGTTTTGGCGATGGCTCAAATGAGCTGATCATATTGGGTGTTCCCTTTTCGATGGCCAGGATTCCTGAGGGAGCCATGACCATGGTCCACAAAGCAAATAGGGAGTTTTGTCACAAGCTTGTTCTAGATCACAAAATGGTCACTCCCCCCGATCTACTAGCTTGGATTGGAAGGGGTTCAAATGCCCAAGCTTCCGAAGCCATTTGCCCAAATGGAATCAACCTTTGGATCTTTCACCACTTTTGGTAAGCTCCCCATGATGAAGACCCCCTGCTTGATTTTGTCGCATTCAGACGGGTGAATCATACTAATTCATATGTTTGGTCAAGGTTGCCAAAGAACTCAAATGTTGTTCCTAGTGTATTTGGCTACAATGCATACGCAAAATTTGACTTCTCGCGAATATGCGATAGAATCATATCTTTTTGTGTATTTGAGCATGCTTAGTACGTTCTCAGGGTCCTTTGCAGGACCAGCCAAATTGAAAGTGGACCCTTGGTATTCGGGGTATCTTTGATGTTTCCGAGGGTCCACTCCCTGGTTTCCTCCAAATCAGGCCCCTTAATATGGCCCCATTAGGGTCCTATTTTGGGGAAACCTATGAATGTGGGGACCCAACATGGTATGGGTATGTTGTTATCTTTTTGACGACCCCTTATTTTGCACTCAATGAGGCCTTCTCATTCTTTGCCATGAGTTTTGGGTAGATTCTTCTTTCATACCAGACGTTGATTGTGCCAGCTTTGGATTGTGACTGACTCAGAGCCACAAACTCGTTGGATCTTCCCATGTTCGGTTGCTGGCCAACATTTTCTGCGGCTGAGGGTGTATTTCCTGGACCGCGACGGCGAAATGCGCCTCGGGAAGCGAGCGGTGGGTTTCCTGGGGATGTTCCCAGGGCTGGTGTGCCTTTGTGGCTGATTTCTTTGGGGGGAGGGGTCGCTACAGAGAACCTGGACCCTGAAATTTGATTTGTTCCGCCTGTTTGTGCCTCCGTCAAGGAACATGGCTAGGAACTTGGGCAAACCTCCACAGGGGCACCGACTTTTGGATGACCGGAGGCAATGGAAGAAACTTGGGCAAGCGCTTCTGGTCCGGTCCGCATGCCGGATGGGAATTGGCGGGGAGGGCCTTGGCCTTTGGGTTGGGATGCCCATTTGCCCGACCGATTTGATGGAGGTTCGGAGTTCGTCTGTGGGTTGCAGAAGTAATCTGCTTGATTTGAAGTGCAGTTGCTCCGTCTCAGCTGAAAAGACGGAGGGCCTCCCAGTGGCCTCTCGTTTCAAAGACGCATTTATGCCATCGATATAGATTTTGAAAGAAACAGCAGGACTCTTGTGCCATTGTACCTGTCTGAGCGACATCTTGTGGTGTTCTTCAAGGACACCCGCCCTGTCCCAAAAAGTCAGTTGCTCTTTGATTCCATGCTGGGTTCCACTACCCCGGAACCAGTCACCCACAATTCACTTTTTGTTTCCTTTTGTTAAACTATACTGGGCTTATTGTTGCCTTGGGGTGATGGTTTGGGGCAGTGGGAACCCGAATGAAATCATTTGCTCTTTGGGGTTGCTGTCGTTTCCCAACAGACTTCCAAAGATATGAAAGGAACTCCCAGCCCCAAGCAGCCCGCTGGAAAGTACGGTGGATGGACCAAATCCATTTGACAGCACCTAAGATACTCAATAATGATGAATTTCCTCTAGATGCCAGCAAACAATGACTTGACATGGTTTCAAAGTGGTGCAGGGTTTCGTGCGTCCAGAGTCTGACCCTGCCGTGGGTTCGAAAGATGTTTGTCAGGTTCCTTCACGTGCTCAACTATTTGCGCCACGGGCCGGAGCTGTTTGTCCCGCCTGAGAGCAATAGCAGTCGATTGAGCTTGCGGAATGAGGCAGGCATGGGAGCGGTTGGAGCGGTTGGAACGTTGGGGCGCTTGGGGCGGTTGGAGTGGTTGGGGTCAGTCGTTGGGGGGGAGGGGCTGTTTAAGCAACATGTCTGGTGAGGTCGCTCCCATGTTTGTCGGGATTGAACCGGTCAACCCGTCAAAATAAGGTGCCCGGTATCGGACCCAGTCCAAAATGGATTTTGCAATCCACAGTAGCTTCAAGAAATTGGCATAGGAAGCCAACTGTAGCGGCACTTGCGCAATGCAATCGCACCGAGTTTAGAAAACGAGACTTTGTGTTGGCAACTGCTTGCACCATTTGGCTTACATGTTGTTGCTTGAAAGGGGAGGAGGAACTATGCTGCGCCGGGTGTTGCGCAGCCCGGAAAAGTCACCTCAGCCTTTTGCGGGGCGAGCGACCCTTCATGTGCTGCAACTTTTATGAGGCCACACTGGGGAGGAATGACAACCTTGTGTTTGTCAACGGTGAATTTTCTATGCGGCTGTGATGCAGTGAGCGCTGCTGGTGATGCAACATTCGGCCCCGTCATGCTGATTTGGAGAGATAGCAACGGCTGCCGTGGCAGCTCATGACTTTTGTGACCAAGAGTGACCAACTTGGAAAGAGCATCAAAGACCACAGCTTTTAAAACCAAAGGAAGGCGTGTCCTGCAAATCGTCCAGGCACTCCCCGCGATTCCCCAAGCTTTGTTCGGTGCAAGGCGAAGATGCTGCAGCTGCCGGAGCTCGCCAGGATGATGGAGGAGGCCTCCGGGCGGGCGCGGAGTCGAGGGGAAGAGCCCCAAGAAGCCGAGAGCTCAGTGACAAGGCGGCGGCATCGACTTGCCCAGGGGGAGACAGGGGGAAATCCTTGTGGCCTTGCCCGGCCCGTGAGCCCAACTGAGGTTGCATAAGAAAGTTGCGCTGTGGGGCGAATCAAAGAAATTGACCATGCTTTCTGACAGAGTTTCCCTTTCAAAATGCTTCGACAAAGAACAAGGGCTCTCCCGAGAGTGTAGTTGATACCTCGTTTGACAAATGGTTGCGTCTTCGCTTCATTCTTAATTGGGAGTCATCCTGAACCAGCATTACAAATTGCCATGAGCGATTCAGTCGCCTCTAAACGTGTGCAGAAGTCGCGCCATCCTCCCACACGTCACGGCATTTAGTTCCTTTTAGACGTTTTTTTTGCTTCAGGTACGTCGCTTCTCTTGCCGCAAATGGACCTCTTAGCCCAATCCCTCATGAAGTGGGAATTGGCTTCCACTTCACTTTATGAACAAACAACGACAGGTGATGTTTTGACATGGGAAAGCATTGGGAAAGAAAGGGGAGGATTCGTGTCTCTACCGAGAGAACCCACCACCCTGTTTCTTTTCTGAGGCTGAAAAAACACATACTTTGAACACATGGCTTTCCTGATCAAGATATGACACGATGTTCTGCTTTTGGTGCAAGCTGTGGGTTGTGGAAAAGTTCCTGTCCTGCGATACCGAAACGGGTCATCTTTTTTTTAATATTCTTCTTCTTGCGAGTTTCTTATGAAATTCCGCAGCATTGCAACCAAACCTTCCCCCCCCCCCCATGCCTAGTTTGAAAGGGTTCACCAACTGACCCCCAGAACTCATCCCATGGACAGATGTCTGGTTCTTGCGCATAAGGTTACCTGGTGCAATCATGTATACTAACAAAAAGTCGAGGTTGTGGCCCTCGACCAGCCAATGTTTTTGTCCTACCCCTTACCACAAAAATTGCCTTCCCGAACAAACGGAGATGACAGATGAATGTGGCTGGGCAAATGCCAACCCAATCCTTCTGATATCTTTGTGGCAAAGCACTTGGCTTATCCTTCTGCAACCTGTGTCGGAAATGATTGACCGCTCCCTCTACGCGAAGGTGTAGTTGATGCCTCTTTGAAAGGAATGATTTTTTGTTTTTTGTTTGGTTGGTTTCAAAGGCTTTCGAGCTGTCTTTTGGACGCTTCCGGCCAGGAGTATGCGCCACACCAGTACGCCGTCTTCGAGTCTGACGTGTACCAGGGCGCCCCGATCCCGCGGAACGAGAAGGAGCGCATAGCCAAGTTGAGGTCCTTGGAGGTGGTGGACACTGAGAATGCACCTTGGCAAACGCCAAAAGCGGGTAATGATTTCTGGTTGGCCGTATTTGACCGAAAGGAAGCTGAAGAGGTTAAGAGAGGAGTAACTACCCGCCTGGAGGATATCTGACATTTTCCCCGGTGAATGACAAAATCGTAGGACACTTGAGCGCAGGGTTACCCGCAGTCTTGTGTTTCCGAGGTGAACACGGATTTCGACAACATCACGCGGTGTGTCGCTGCGATCCTGCAAGTGCTTCTGGTCAAACATGCAAAGGTCGAAACTTGCCCAACCCCTAACCCCAGAACATCGCCAAGACTCTCTTGAAGGTCATTCTTGGCCCCCCAGTCCTCCCAACCCGCTCTGTCCGAACACCCTCCGGAGGGTTAGCTCAGCAAAGCACAGGAGGTAGTTCCACTTTTTATAGTCATTGATCCACTTTGGGGATGCTCTCTTCGGGTCATCCGGATCAAAGCACTTTGCAAGCCCTCTGATTGGGACCGCCTCTGGTGACATACATTTTGAGATTCCCCAATCGTGGACCGGCTTCCAGTAGTCTATTGTTCCTCTGCAGCCCCTGCTTAACTGGGGAGAAGCATGAGATAGGCCTTTGCTTGTGACGGCTGCCAAACGGAGCATGGTAAGAAGGGGCCCTTTTGGAGATCTGGATTGGGGAAGCCCATGAGTTCCATCCCGCTTTACCCGCTTTTCGCCTTCTTGCGGTCATACCTGGTTGACTGGTTGTTGGTTCATGATTCATGACTCTAGACTCAATTTGGGTTGGGCCATAAATTAAACATTGAACTCAGCCGATCGGCGGCTTTTGTTGTCAAGCCCAATCTCTCTCCCTCTCCCTCTCGATCTCTCCCTCTCCCTCCCTCCCTCCCTCCCTCCCTCCCTCTCCCTCCCTCCCTCTCCTCCCTCTCTCTCTCTCTCTCTCTCTCTCTCTCTCTCTCTCTCTCTCTCTCTCTCTCTCTCTCTGTGTTCAACACTCTTTTCGGTTTCGTCGTTTCATTGCCAATAGTCAGTTGGGGGATAGGCACCAAACAAAAACTTTTTAGCGGGAAAAACACTTATTAGGGATCGAAGGAAGGAAGGCAGGAAGGGATCAAGGAAGGCAGGAAGGAAAGAAGAAAGGAAGTAAGGGAAGGAAATCTGAAGCATTTTGAGAGGTTCTCCATATTGGTTTCGGGAATCGGCGGATGCACCCTATCATCACTTCTTCGATCATCATGGGGGGGGTTGCCCCCCCCCCAACCTCCCACGCTGATTTTTAGAATTCTTACAGAGGTTACGCACCCTTTGTTGAATCATCACTTCTTCGACTATAGCTTTTGCAGAGTTCGCCAAGTAACATTCTGACTTGCTGTTGGGTCTCACGCAAACTTGTTCGGATATCCTGCGACAAGTTTATGGCCGTAGACTCCTGGCCATTTCTGATGTCAGCCCACCCAAGGTTAGCTTCCGTAGTAGGGTTCCACAAGTCAATTCTGCGACATCGTATTTTGCAAAGGTTTCTCGAGGTTGGTTGCCATAGACTTTCTCCTTCTGTCTCTCTTTCTCTCTTTATTTGTCTCCCTTTCTCTTTTTCTCTTTTTGTTTCTTCTTCTTTTTCTTTCTCTCTTTCGTGCTTTCTTTCTTTCTTTCTTTCTTTCTTTCTTTCTTTCTTTCTTTCTTTCTTTCTTTCTTTCTGTTTCTCTTCTCTTTCTCTTTCCCTTCTGTTTCTATCTCTCTTTGTCTCTGTCTGTCTTTTTTGTTCCCTTTCTCTTTCTCTGTCTCTCTTTCTGTCTCTCTTTCTGTTTCTCTTTCTCTTTCTCTTTCTCTCGTTTTCTCTCTTTATCTCTTTCTTTCCTTCTTGCTTTCCTTCTCCCCACCTCTCTCTCTCTCTCTCTGTCTGTCTGTCTGTCTGCCTGCCTGCCTGCCTGCCTGCCTGCCTGTCTGTCTGTCTGTCTGTCTGTCTGTCTGTCTGTCTGTCTGTCTGTCTGTCTGTCTGTCTGTTCGTCTGTCTGTCTGTCTCTGTTTCTCTCTCTTTCTTTCTTCCTTTCTCTTTTTCTCTTTCTTTCTTTTTTTGTCTGTCTCTCTCTCTCTCTCTATCTGTCTCTGTTTCTCTCTGTTTCTCCCTTTTTCTCCATGTATTTATCGCTTGCGAAAGTGCTGCTCCTGCTGCGAAATCTGTACCTGACCTCACGAAAGTGCTGCGCCTGCCACGAAATCTCTACCTGACCTTGCGAAAGTGCTGCGCCTGCGGAAGTTTTGTTGATCCCCGGTGTTTTTTTTGATCCTCCGACTTTTCATTTTTAATAGTACATCTACGAGAAGAAGTTTGTTTGACTCATTGACCCCTAACAAGTTGTGTTTGATCTTTAGGAATAAATTTTTGTGATGCCTAAACAGTTTTTTTGATCCCGCGCCTCCTTTCCAAATTGTACGGGGTGGTTGGGGAGGGGTTCGTCGTTTTATTGCCACTCGTCAGCGTTCCCTACAGCTACTTCTCTCTTGCCGATGTATGCGTCGAATTCCTTGGAACCGGCCCCAGGTGCCCATTTGTCTGGTGTCGCTGGTGGCAGAGGAGCGGGGGGGGGCTGGTGCTTGAACCAGAGCTCTTCAAGGCCAACAGCAGGTTGCGCAAGGTTCGACAGTCTGCTGTGGTTTGTTACCATGTTGCTAAACGTCTCCCCCCAAGTTTGGGATGGGCTCGTTGAACTCAAGGGGGTCAGTTCTTCCCGCCGACGCCGTGATTGTCGGAGGCCTCCTGTGACTCGACTCGCATCCACTCGCCTCCGCTCAGCTTTGGCGGATTCATAGGTGGATTCTTTCCCCCAGAAAGCAATCCAGATCCCTTACATGGGACGCCCCCAATTTTCCATTCAGGGATTGATTAATCTGATCAATCCTTGTTCCCGAGGATAAGCAGTGGTTCAAGTCCAAGACGGGGCTCGAAGCGGACGAGACTTCGCGGGCCAGCAGCTTCTGCGCCTATACGCTGCTCCCGGAGGCCCTCGAGGCGACGGTAGATGTGATCCTCTGAACCCTTAGTTCAGCTCATTAGTTGGTGAAATTTGGTGAAGCTCAACCTCCCCACAGTTTCATTCTCTTTACTTGCGCGCATACAGACACTTTCACCCCGTACCCATGAAAGGAACACCACATGTGACCGGTCAAACTCCTTATACCGGTCATGCTGATGGTTCTCTTAGGAACCCTTTCCACGTCCTGTGAGCCTCGGCTGGCTACATTGCTTAAGGGGCCTAGGAAGCCGTCATTCCGACCGAAGGACAGCGCGGTTTTGGTGGTCACCGACGCCCGCCGGGATGTGCGCTTTATGCGGAACCCTTTGGTGCTGGGCGAGCCGTGCCTTGGCTTGAAAATGGGCGAAGGATTCGTATGCAGGGTGCGGGGGAGGAATGCAAGGGTGGAAAATGGCACACATTGGCTTTTGTGGCAAGTCATTTTGTTTGTTTTAACAGTGCCCCACAGTCCCATTCTAATTGTTTAAGCTCCAATAATGGTATGGTGGTGTGTCTCCTGAATGGGGGGGGATCGATGCACTTGGTGGATGTCCGAGAGACGGATCGGCACTCAAGGTAATGGCATGTCCAATTGAACCCAAGCAGGGAATGCAAAAGCAAATTCGCAAGGTTTATCAATTCGGGATCAGTTTATTTGGAGACACTTGTTTTCTAGAATGATTTTTGAGTAGGGGATGCCACACATGTCCACACAGCGTGTGTTTGGTTAGTTGCAAGGATCTGGGATCTTGGTGGCCAAGCCCGTTCAGAGTTATCCCATGATCTGAATTATGGCTGTTCCGACATGGTGCACGTTCACCGATTTGCCACTTTCCAGAGTTTTCCATGACTCTCAAAAACTCGGGCGGCACTGTTTTGCAAATTTTTGTTCTGGCTCGGGTTCCTTTCAATTCCTCCTACAGAAAAGGGCATCATTTTCTCATGGCCACTGGGCAAGTATGTCCGAACCGACTGTGAGAGGCGCTTTATACATATTATATATATATATATATGTATATATCGGTGCCCAGAAACTTGGCAGACAACTGGCGACACTGATACTTGCTGGCTACACTGCCTCCTTCAATTAGTTTCGGAAATCACACGCGGGTTTCCCGGGGATCAAGCGGGTATTGAAAAGGCCCGTGGGTGAAAACTAGGAACCGTGTTGGGTACGATATCAAAGGAGGGCCAACATAACACCATCCATTTTGAGGGTTCCTATTTTTGAAGGATTCCCGAAGGAATGATTTGAATAGCGGGGTCAATGTTTGTGGGTGGTTTTGAAATGGCAGACCTCCCTTGTTCCTGCTGTTTTCACCAACCTAGCCACTCGTTGCTTCAAGCTGAAACACCCATGTGGCTGAGTGTCAAAACTAGAAATACAAGGCAACCCGCTCCTGCCTGCGGGTCATTGGGACCTGACCACAATATCCTGGTTGTTGGAATTTGGCTTTTGGGATGGCTTTCTGTGATGCTAAGGGACTCAATGCCTTCTTGCAGTCACACCATGGCCACGTACAACAGGGGCAACTGCTGTGCAAATGTATAATTATATATATATATGTATAATGTGCGCGAGTTCACCGTCTACCCCCCCGCCGCCCGAGGCCGCCAATCTTTCTTCTTTCTTTTCGCAGAGTCTTTAACACGTTTTTCCAATTGCAAGAGCCTCAAGGATTCACAAACTGGAGAGGTACATCCAGTTCTATGCGGGCTGCCCCTTGGTCACCTCCGAGGGCCTCCGTATTGGTAGCCTATGCGCCATCGACCGGGTGCCCAGGAGCCGCTGGCGTGCGATTTTCGAAGCGGAAAAGGGTTGATCAATATTCCTGGCCCCAAATGACCCTGTGTAGCGTTTCCCATCTAGTGGGACATCTCATCTTGCGGTGGGGTTCCAACCAATTACGCTCCCATGTAAAGGACCTTTTGATCAACCCCCACTACTGGGTCAACTTTGGGTCCGAACAGTGGTTCAACTCTTGCTCTGGGATTTGGAGGGTCCCCACGGCAGGGCATGATTATTGACCGACCGCAATCGGTTATTTTTGCATTCCTCCTGTTCCACGTCGAAGATGACCTGAAAGCACGATTTCACAGCGAGATTTCTATCCCGACGAGATCCCACAACTACTCAACTACTCTGTTACTTGAAAAGGGGATTGCTCAAAGGGTATCACGGACAGTGACAACCTACAACCAAATTCCCCACACTAAAAGGAAGCTTACTTCACACGGCAAGCCACTGTTCAAACCATCCCAAAGCACATCGACCTTGGACCCTGACAGGGCGAAGGCAAACGATTGCGCATTCATGGGTCGCAGACCCCCAGGAATTTGCGAACACGGGACGACACCACCATTTCATTATCCTTCTTGTTTGTATGTTTTTCCCCGGACGGAAACACGGCTGTGGAAAATGGACTGGACTTCGGCTACCATGTCTTGTACCAAGTGTCGAAGAGCCCCTGTGTTAGACGTCTGTTGTTTGGGTGCGACGTGGTGCAGAGAACTGCTTGCGTGGCTGTGGGGATAGTCATAGACAACCATTTGCAGATAAGCATTTGTCAGACCCGGAAACTACCAGCAACTTCGAGAAACCACCTGATTTTTATCGGGATGTTCTAGCTTGTAAACCTGGGCTCCTTGCAGCTAGATACTGTGGGCATAAGCAAACTGAATGCTCCGGGCGATGTGGGGAAGCCGTTTGACACGTGGGAGACTTCGCCAGGCACCCAGCGCCCTCTGAGCTGGGGCTGCTGATCAACTTCGGGTACCTCACCGTGCAGCTGCTTGAAGAGAGGCCGAACGCTTCCTCGAGCTGGCGACCACCAAAATCGAACAAGGGGGTTTGTTCTGAGAAAGTGGCCGAAAAAAGGGGAAAAGGAGGTCTTTGGGTTTACAAGCAACGCACCTGGACAGAGGGGGTAAATTGTTCAGCTTTGGTTTCGGACGTAGGGAACTGCAATTCAAGCTTTGCTTGAAGTACACCGAATCCAACTTGGAGAGAGTCTGGCTTGAAGATATGTCGTGACAGACCGGGTGGGATGGCGTTTCCGGTGGCAAATTTGTGGTGGTGTTCCGCTTTTGCAGACTCCTTTGAGTAGCGGGGTTTTGGCTGCTTGTGAGACCGTAGTTCTACAAGGCGTCATCAGCTACTTGGATGACCACAGTCAAAGGATGGTTAGAGCTTCCTCGCCACTGTTCTTGATTGCACGTTTTTCCCACAGGGTGATATCTGGGTGGGGGCTGCAGAAGTGGTGGTGGTGAAGGATGGGGTGGGGCTGTCATGACAAATGCAGTTTTTGTGCAAGCGGCTCTTCGAACCTTGCCAATCGTGCTCAGAAAGAAGTTAGAATGTTTTTTTTAGTTTTGGGAGTTTCACTCACGAAACTGTTGCTTGCATGAATCGGTGCCCTGCGTTTAGTTCACTGTGGTCCTCTTCAAAGCGAACCATGATTTGTGTACGTTTGAAGCCTCTTGCCTTTGGTTCTTCTCCCCGTATTTCTGGGTAAGTGTTTGTTAACATCGTCTTTGTTTTGCCTTTTGTGTCTTTGTTTCTTTTTCTCAGTGAGCCCATTTTCCAAGACCGGGCCGCTGGTAGCAAGTCGCCTTCGAAGGGAAACCGAGGAAATCAAGAAGCAAACTGGGGCCCAACTGATTTGGAGAAACATGGGGCTTGGGTACCGGTTTGATTGGCTTCGGAGGTTTGGTTTGAAGGTTTGGGCTTTCGTTCTGGATCATTTTGAGCTGCCCGCAGGCACCTGAAGCTCGACGAGGACCTCAGGGGTTCCAGGTCCCCCCAAAATGGCAACCACCGAAGACAACATCAGCCACAAAGCTTTTGCTGGTGGTTTCTGGTGGTTTCCTGTTTTTGTTGGGGAAAACTATGTTGTTCTAGTTCTGAGGACCTTCATTGAACCACTCTAGAACCAAAGGGGATGGCACACGGGACCCAGAATTCCACATAGTTTTTGGTGGCTGAGGCTGTTAAGCCTTAAATGTTGACACAGTTTTCAAAGGGGAATGTGTTAGGAAGTGAACCATCTTAACGCAGTCCTCTGCGTTTTGCGGTACTTCTTGTGCCCCAACAGAAGCCCGGGCTACAAACTTGGTGATGGTTTCTTCGAGGGTCCTGGCGGTCCTTCCTGGTGGCCCCCATGCTTACCCCTAGGTTAACATGGAATCCAGAGACAATCTCCAAAGGATTTTTCAAAGGGCGCCTCTTGTAGATTCCATCTTAATTTGCAGGGCGTACGCGCCAAGCGCGACCCAATTCAGGTGGGATCAGCGATTCTCGCAGAATTAACATCACGCGGAGTTACTTCATTCAAGTCATAATGTGCGCAGAGCAATCGCAACGTGGCCTTTCAGAAAGGGAGCTTGTCAAATATGCCCTGCATTTCGAAAAAAAAAAGAGAGAGGAAAAAACAAAGAGGAAAACGCAGAACACTATTCTCTTGGTTTTCGAGAAGCCAGGTCTGACAAGGTGAGTATTTTCAATAGGTCTGGGGTTGGCATCATATCCCCACAAACATGCGGGCAGGGTATCTGGCGGCGGCCCTTCTGGTTGAACGCTTACTGTGGTCGCATTGCGAGGGGTTCTCAAAAATATGTTGGGGTGGTTCCCCTTGACACGTAGAGGATCAGATTGCCCCCCTGACATGGAGCCAGTTGGTCCTTTTCCAAGGTTACCCTTATTTGGTCGCTGCAAATTAGGGCGAAGGTGTGCAACCGCACCTGTCCGTGTTTTAAAGGTTGAATGCTTATTTAGGTACTTCACCTAAATTGGTGGTTTGGATGGATGTTGTTGACGGATTTTGCTGAACGGCGACCTTCACAAGATAAGGCCGAATCACCAAACCCGCCCAACCGAACCATCGCACAGCCCACCAGCCCAAACCACCAGGGGGAAGCCCCCGCCCGCATCGTCCTTTCAAGACTCAAGCTTTTTGAAGTCCTAAATAGGTTCCCCCAAAAAGTGGATATGGGATTCCTTTTAATATGCCAATCTTCCCCGAAGGAAGGATGGATGGAACCTATCATAATTTTGGGAGCTTTTGTTGAGTAAGACCCGCTGGCTCTAAGTGGAATGAGGATTTGTTTCCATTTCCTTGCGGTGTCTTTTGTGCAACGTTCCTTTTTATGTCCCTTCAAACAAGTGGGTCACATGGGTGATCATCAAAGTTCCGAATTCCTTCCTGACCTCGTCCCAAGAGGAGGCTCACCTGGTCTTTTCGCCCAAACAGAAACAGGTCCTCTCCACCCGAAGCCAAGAGCGAAGCCGACGCTTGCCTTCCCCCCAAACGTGAGGAGAGCGAGGGCGAGGGCGAGCTGCAGTGGCGCGGCGGGCGCCAGCGCGCGGAGGCCATGGTGGACGGGCGGAAGATGGCCGTGGCGCTGGTCTGGGCGCGGCCAGACTCCATGGCGCCTTCGGAAGCAGCGGCGGTTTGGGGCGGAGGGGTTGGGCCCCAACTTGTTTTTGTAAACAGCCTGGCTGTGGGTTGGGGAGAAGGTCCGGAAACCTTAAATACTCCCCCCCCCCGAATTTACGGAATTGTGCCGGAGGGGGGGGGTGCCGGGAATCCTTAAATACAACCCCCCTCCAATTTAAGGAATTGTGCAATCCTTAAAAACAACCCCCCCACCCGAAGGGGGGGGGGGGGGAAATCCTTGAATAACCCCCCCCGAAGGGGGAGAAGGGGGTGGAAGTCAAAAGAGGGGGAGGATTATGGTTGAAAGTGGTGGACACAATGGGAAGGGCGGGTTTGGATGCTTGTGTCTCCTCTAATTTGGATTCTTGACTGGCTGCAGGGATAAATAGAGGGTGGACCGGGTTCTGGTGTGAAAGGGAAGTCTGAAGTGCCCTGGCTGTTGCAGCAGCGACATGCGGAAACTTCCCTTGCTTAAATGGCTGTGAACATCATGGTGGGGACTTCATGTCCACCCAGGCTTTCTAGAAAACATCATGGCCAAATCAGGACTGTCTTATCCCAGGGAACCCAACGAAAGGAGGCCCTGGACCCGTTAAACCTGCCTTGACAGATGGACATGGGCATCCAACATGGGAACCAACATCGGCATCCAACATGAGAACCCAATATGGGAGCCTAATAAAGATCGACAGTTCCCAGGACTGGCCGCTGATCTACGCCAACAAGGTCTGGCGCCTGGGCATCTAGGCGATCGGCGGCATGCGGAGCCGGCAAACCCGCGTCGCATTGCGCGATCTCCCCGTGATTTTCCCGAAAACGCAACGTGGAGTCCCCCAGAGGCCCTTGGAGCGGAGAATCCGAGGACGCAGCTCACGGGGGTGACGGTGGTGAGCCCCTGCAAGTTCCCCGACAGAGCGGAGATCTCCGCGCCTGGAGCCGCCGGTAGCGTTGAGTCCTTCTGGGACCACGTGAGGCGCGCGAGACGTCGCGGGACATCGCGAGACGCCAGAGGTTGGGTGGCCGAGACATGGCCGTTCGCTTGGTCCTGGATGTTCAGGCACCGAAGACTGCCCCGGCGTGCCCAATCTTCATAAGGTTCTCGGTGGGGTCTCGGGCCTTCATTCGGCTGCTCACAGCGCTGATTAAGATCCTGGCCCTTGCCGGGTCTTCCCCTCGCTCCTGGTCCTTGGGGCCGGCTTTGGCGAGACATAGAGTTTCAACTCTATCTCCCTTGCAGCGGGGTTTGAAAGATCAGCTTTTGGCTGCCAACACAAAAGGAGCTTTCTGGCAGAACGCGTGCTGGTTTCAGGTTTCGGAAGCGCTAGCTTTTGATGTTAGTGAGAAGTAGCATGCCCTTAAAGCATCGGGCCATGACGCTTTTGGGTCCTGAATACAGTCTTTTGGTATTGTCAAGTTTTGGTTGCTCTGAAAGAGCATCTGAAAGAGCATACGGGGTAGTTCCCCGATCACATGAAGTGATTGGTTTTGAAGGGATTTTCAGGCACTCTAGGGTTCCCTTAGGCACACCGACACCCGCTGCCTCCATTCGGAGCCAGGATGGCCTCCGCGGATCCGGGGCAGGTGCTGGAGCTTTGGAAGCGGCTCGGATTGACTTTGCTTCGCCCAAGCTTTGCTTTGGTTCGCTGGGGACAAGGGACACCAAACGTGTTCTGATGGGAACACCTGGGAAGGGAGAGAGAAAGCTGGGCTCTTTGATCGCGTTTAGATTTTGTTCGCTGTGAGCAAGCAGTGAATGTTAACCCGCTACTGTAGTAAAGAGAATGCCGCCGAATTCTCACTTGCAAGAGGGGGGGAGTTCAAGCCCCACATTCCTCGGGGAACAGTGAGTTGTTTTTTGGTATTAACCCAGGCTTGCGCTAGACGGTCTTTTGGTACCGTGCTGCGAATTTCTGGGAGATTTCAAGCTGCAAACAGCTCAAGCCCGCAAGCAGCTCTTTTTGCACTCGAAGGACAAGAAGGACAATAGTTCTTATCCTTCGAGGGTGAGCTGTCTCCCTTTGTTGGAGGTGCAAGAGCCCCAAAGCATACGAATTCTTTGCCTTCATGGAGGGCTGACTGTGTCTTTACGCATCTGTGCGCTTACTTGTGGTGTGCTCGTGCCTGCAACTGCAACTCGGTCAACAGTACTTTCGATCCGCCTGTCTTCCAGTTTAACAGATGTGATCTTGTTTTGGCCCCATTTTCATTTTGGCCTCCTTTATTGTGCCCCTTTCGGTGCTCCGTTTGGTCCCACTTCTGGTACCCCCCCTTTTGCTGCTCTTTCAAGGTCCCGGTTCCTTCGTTCCCCTTCGATTCGCCTCCGTTTTCGCCGTTGCCATTCTTCAACGCAGGGCCAAGCTAACCTGTTTCTTCTTCTTGGCACCTCGTTTTGACGATCGAAACAAACATTTCTACCCTGGACGGCTGGTCTTCAGTGTTGAACGGACCCCCACTTTAAACCAACTAAAAAAGCCTTTTGGTTTCCTTTCAAAACCCGACCAAAAAAAGTCAGCTCGAAACAACCGGACGGCTTCCCAGGATGGTCTCGGCGGCCATGGCGCCGCCGCCGGGCGGCCGGGACCTGCGGCAGGTGGGCTTCGGCACCTCGCTGCAGGCGAAGCGGGGGAAGGCGCGGCTCACCGCCCGTGCCTCGGCGGGGGCTTTCGGGTGGGTCTCCCAAAAGGAAACCGAGGCAAGAAACCTATGGTGGGTCTCCCAAGAAACTGGTAGTTAGAAGGCATGCGAGGCTTGGCAGGAACATGACCTTGGAGGTTTGGATGTTCTTTGTTTTTTTTTTCCAAAGCCAAGAGGAGACCAACCGGAGACAAACCCACTTTGCGCTTGCTCCAAGGTAGGCCACAGGAAGATCTATTTGGGGAGATGGTACCACTTTTTCCAACTGGTGGTGGAGCTTTGTCCATCGGTAGGAACTGGACGGGTGTCTATTTTAGACTGCCCCGTCCAAACTAAGACCATTTCTTGTGGTTCCGCTTTTGTTGGTTTTGGCCCGAGGTAGGCCCAAGGAAAGGAGCTATTCTCTCTAGGTGAGATGGAACAGGCTCCGTCCTTTACATTGCCCCAAGGGGGGGAACACTTTTTTGAGGCCCTCGAACCACCTCTCGTCTGATCATCCCTCAGCTCTATGTGGTTGCATGGAAGGGTTAGGTTCTGTTTGTGGTAGGCTCAAATGAAACCCAGCGAAGTCCTTTTTGAGGAACACCACCAACTCTGAGTTTAAGTCTGGGGTAATCAAGAAAGGAAAGCCCGCTTGGGATGGCTTGTCAGGAGAGACGTGCGGATTACCTCACTCGAGCCCCATGAGTAAACTGTTGTTTAGATTTTGGACCATCGAGGAAGTCAGAGACATTGGGGCAAGGGACTTGGAAGGGTTTGTCAGACTCGGGCAGAATTGGAGTCAAGAATGGCACCATGGTCCCCTTTGAATCAGACCCTTGATCAGGATATGTAAACAACAGCAGCTTTAACGTGTTAACAGCTGTGGGTGGCCCGACCCTAGGCCCTTTGAGGTGATAGACTTGTCAACTAGTCATGGATATGGATGGGCCTCCCAGGTATCACACACATGAACCAGCCATGAACCACAGTCACGAGCCAACCACAAAACCAAAAGCAACAACCACACGCATGAACCAGCCCGCAGCCACTGAGAAAAAAGCAGCAACACACGAAAGCGGCTGCGTTCAGCTCCGAGGTTTCTCCCCGGCAGAGCTGCCGCTCTCGGAGAACGCCGCGGTGGTGAAGAACCACGGGCTCGAGGCCAGCCGCGAGAGGCGCGGCTCCGGGCGGTCGATTACGGCTGGGAAGCCTAGGGCCCAGCAAGGTGAATCCATTTCCTGGTGCTTGGGTCTGTGTCTGTTTTGGGACCCCTCCCGTTCTGAGGCACTAGAGGAAACCGAAGGTTGGGAACCAGTTGAGGAGCTTGGGATGGTGTTTTTTTTGAGGGGGACCCTCCTTTTGGTTGGTCTTTTCCAGGAAAGACAAGAGGAGACCAACCGTTTTGGGGGGGTCCCCCTACCTTGAGTTTCCAGCTGCAAGCTATGGGGTCTTTGCCCGGGCTTTGGCCTCGGAGATCAACCCAACAAAAACTCGTCCTTTTTTTTGCACTGGTGGCAGCCTCTGTTGTAGGTGGGTTGAACTAAAATGATTAGGCTGCTTTTAACTGGAACTCGCGGAATGTTTCAACCACTTACCACCAAACAGCTATGCACAATTGCGCAGGGGGCAACAGCCACCCAGTTTTGTAGCTGCTCTCGAACGGAAGGCCAAACCATCCTTCGGGATTCCCAGGTCATGTTTTTCCCGTGTTGAGTTGACAGGCAGACGAAGAAGCAGCTGCATTTCACTGAGCGTGTTCGTTCAGGTGGGTTTGTCTCGCTCTTTCGGGGCACTTTGGATGGGAAAGGGTGCCAAGGACCACCTGGAGTGGTCCAAGTCGAATGGTGGATTTCAAGTGAGGCAATCCACCCTAAGCGCGTCAATTGACTGAACTCACCTGAAGTTGTCCTTTGACCAAAAAACATGGGGTCATGGCCCCCGAAGAATTAGTACGATATCCCATGTTAGCTTGTTCGCCTTTGCCCACTTGTTTCTTGATGAGGACACGTAACTTTTTTCAGAGGCAGGACCAGTCAAGGGACCCCGTGCGAGGTGGCAGCGCCCGAAGGGCTGGGCGGACGGCCACTGGTGCTTCGTGCAGATGGTCCAGCAGAAGGCGCAGGGCTGTCACCATTTGAGTTTGTCGGTTTTGGGTTGGCTGGCATCGGATGGTGTTGAAAACTCAAAAGGACAAACAGCCGCGTGAAGAGGACCGTAATTTTGAGACACGCCGAATTTGAGTTTCCTCTGGTTTCCAGTGTTACACGTGTTGGCTTGTTTTCTAAAGTCAACCGACACTTGGCGAGCCCTTTGGTTCTGAAGAACATATTTGGCCATGGGATCTCACGTGTAACCTGAGAAGGTCAGCCAGGCGTGCCAGGAGCCTGAGAAGCCGCCACCAATGGTGTGCCTTCGGCTCCCCTCTGTGGAAATATCCAGAGGTCGCTCTTGGTTGCCTGTTTTCCTTTCAAACCAATGGCTCAAGGGGTAGCCACCATGGATCTGAATCGCTATCCAAGCAAGTTTTATTCACCGTGAGCCGCCTTATCAAGAATGGCATCAAGATCTGGCGTCATATGTTCTACAACCAGTGTGCGTTGATGACTTTGAGCACCCAGTCCTTTTGACCGAGGCACAGCTGAGTTGAAAAGCTCGGCGAGAGCGCATAACTGGAATCACGTTTGAGACCCGCGATGTACATCGCAAGCCATCCAAGACGATGTAGCAAAGCTGCTTCACATCTCGCACGATCTCGCGTTCCGGGGCCACGCGCCCTGACGCTGAGCATTCTCGCAATGTACTCTGTCAGGGCGCGCCGCCCCAAGTCCAGTTGCAAGATGGCATGCGGCAACGCCATCCCCGCTGTGCATCACAATGCTGCGGCACTGTGGTAGGAGCCGTAAAAAGGCAGCGCTTTTGGGCAGCGGAAGTGGGCGTTAGTGATGATGCAGCTTTGGCAGCTCGTTGCCTTCAACCGGAGCTGCTACTCCTCATAAACGCGAAGTTGCGGACGTGAGGAAAGGAGCTGACGGCGCTGGCATCTTCCAAGGTTGAGATCAAGGTTTGGGGAGATCGCACAAAGCACAGCGCTTGGATTGGTGGCTCCATTGTCGCCTCCATGGCATTGCGGAGAATGTTCATCTCCCGAGAGGAGTACAATGAGAGGGGCGAAACGGTTGTGCAAACAAAGGGCTGCCAGATGGTTTGCAGTTGTTGGCTGTTGTATCTTTAATTCTTGGGGTGTGTCCATGTGGGTCCCACTAGTAGAATGAGCAGCGACTTTTGTCAACAGCCAAAGACAAAGTCAACAAACAAAATACTTTGCTTCGAGCAATCCCCACCCTCCACACTCACGAGCTTACGACCGTTACAACAAATTCCTCCGCATCCTGGAGACTTCGACCCCAAATTCCCATCGGCCCTTTTGGACATTGAGCAACACCAGACTGGCGGGATACTGGTGGGATCCACTGGCGAATACTGGCGAGCCGCTCCGGCTCGATACTGGCCGGATACTCGGCAGGATCCACCGGCAAGGGATACTCAGCGGGATACTCGACGGGATCCACTGGCGAGCCGCTCTGGCGGGATACTCGGCAGGATCCACTGGCGAGCCGCTCTGGCGGGATACTCGGCGGGATCCACTGGCGAGCAGCTCTGGCGGGATACTCGGCGGGATCCACTGGTGAGCAGCTCTGGCGGGATACTCGGCAGGATCCACTGGCGAGCCGGGGACCCACTCTAGCGGGATTCTGGGTGGGGGCGTGGTGTAGAAGCATCGCAAACGCGGATTCCAACATAAAATCTAACAACCCCTTCCTGTTGGGTGGGGAAGAAACAACAATGCCGGTTTGCATGATGTCTGTGGCTGTGTCGCAGAGGGTTTGGTCCCTCAAGCTCACATTTCCCTTCTCAAACGGACAACGTTGTTGACATCGTGTCACAGCAATACCGAACAAACACACCCCAACAAGTTGAGGAGGGGTTAAAATGCCGACAAGCAGAGTGTAACCTCGACATCGGATGTCCGCCCTCTCCAGAACAGTTGGCAAGGCCTAGGTTCTGAAGAAAACATTTGTAAACCGCCTCGCAAGTGTGGGAACCTGAGAAGGCAAGACGGGCAACGCGCCAGGAACCTGAGAAGCTGCCACCGATTGTGGTCAAGCAGGAGCCGGCCCAGCCGGCATGTCCGAGTGAACCCACGGAGTGACTTGTATTGGCGATATGAGTAGCGGATGAGCTAACATGCTGGTTTGTTTAAACGTATATAACATGTATAGCATGTGGCACCTACTAAGCGGCTTGCACATTCAACTCCATGCTTGCTTCGTTACATGTGAGCGGGGTGCAAAGAATAGTGTCTTGTTTTTTGCAGGGCCGCCTATCAGGAGGACGTTTGAGAAGCTGGGGCCGATTGGCGGGCACCATTCAGCCCGTATCTGGTGAGTCCCTAGCCATCGAATGGACATCATCCTTTTCAGGGGTTCCGAAACCGGGTCACTTGGGTGACTCTGAAATGCTTGACCCCAAGCCAGGAACGAACATGCCACACTATGTGAAGGCTTTGTCAAGCTGGTGTTGGGGTCATTTGCTGCCGCATTGGTTGCACAGGATTGATTTGGACCCAGATCGCGTTGATTGTGACCGCCCATGTCGACGCTTTCTTAGAGTAGACCCTGGAATTGCATGGTTTCGATTTAGTGTCCCATCCAAATGGTCGAAACTTGGGCTGCATGGCTTCATTCTGTGAGTAGCCAGGAGAATCCCCTTAAACAGTGACAAAAAAGTCATTTGGATGGACATCCAACTTTCGTTCTCTAGGGCCATGCCATGCCATGCCTGTGCAGGGTTCCAGTTGTTGCTTTCCCCCAAAAAGGACTCAAGCCCATGGTTCATGCATTTGAACCAAGAGCCGCGGTTTCACGTCTTTTGGGAGTAAGGCTGTAACAAGGACACTTTCGCTGATGGAGGTGTTCCTTTGTCTCCCCGCCGTGTACCCTCGAAACTCCAAACGGATCCGATATGGAAGCCCATGCGCGCTTTTCCTTTGATTTCCCTTCAACCCCAAAACGGGTACCAAGTGGAGGCGTGTTTTCTGGAGGGTGCCCTTTTGAGATGGGTTTAGAGGGGGAAAATGGACAACCACCCATCTTAGGAAGCCTGTGCGCAGGAGGAGCCGCTAAAGGTCAAGGAGGAGACAGTGAGCATGAAACCTCCGACCGCGCCCTTTGAGGAGAGGGAGACGGGTGCTTTCAGAGTGACCAAACATGTCAAAGGGATCTCTTTTGAGCTCATCTTGCATTTTAAAGTTCCATAAAGAGTGGCGCATTGCTTCGCAGGCATCTATTTGAAGAAAGTTCAATATTCAGTCATTGAGAATCAAACAGGTAAGAAGATATGTTTGGGCAAAAGCTGAGGAACATGGTCTGGTGTTCTGTCGCTCCTTTCACCAGCTTTTTTGGAGAAACCCCAAGTCGTGCGGAGTTCATGTAAGGTCACGTAGTTGACCCGCATGTAGGGTTTGCTGAAGCACTTAACTTTTCGTTTTTCCACCAAAAGGGGGTAATGAGGGGCTAGTGTCATGTACCCTTTCAGGGTTTTGGTAGGGCTGGTCATGAAACAGTTGTTGGTCAACACAAAAAGAGGCAGCACCAAACCGACCAACTCTTCCTCTGCAGTCGCACGCGAGGACGTACGTCTGCTGCGCCTGGTGGGTCAAGGCTCCTTCGGGTCCGTGTACTTCTCCCTGTGGAGCGGCGCAGCGGTGGCTCGGAGAAGTGGAACGGGGGCCGTTGGTTTCTTTTTGACCCCGGCGGAAATGGCGGGGGAGTGGGACGTTTGGCCAGGTTCCACAGAGAGAAGGACATTCCAAAAAATGTCCTGGGGATGGACTTGGTCTTTGCCCTTGCATGTGCCTGGCTAGCACAGGTTTGCTGGGGATGGGGGAAGTGGGCGCATCCTATCGGAAATGGATGGTCATTTTGAAATTCAGGTAGACTTAAACCCAGTTTGAGGAAATGATCCACGGCTGATTTTAAGTCTTTCTGGCGCTCGATAGAACGACGCCCTGTTTTGGACATGCTGGAATTATATAGTTGCTTTTTGGAGGGATGCATGTTAAATCCGGGGAAAACATGTGCCAATGCAAAAGGGGTGCGTACAAATGGCCCGTAGTGGGAGGGTGCAGAGGGCAACTGGGCTTGAGCCATGTCGATCAGTTTTTTCGGGTCATTCGCTGGTTTCCAGGAAGCCTTCGGGGAAGCAGGGGCAAGACATTTCTACGGGTCTTTGATTCATATACTCCTGAAATTACACCCATGAACAGAAGGCACCATTTTGACCATTTCAGAACGGTACTTCGGGTGCAACGACCAGATCCCTTTTGGAGGAACACGGTCACCCGGCCCTTGTACCCCAGCCGAGGTGGCGGTGAAGGTCATCAAGACGGTGGTGCCCACGGGCAAGTCGGAGGACCCGACGTGGGCGGGACGGCTCTAGGAATTTTCGGTTGGAATGCCTTCGCTGCGAAAACTGATGGAGCAACTAAGCATGGAGTGCATCGGAGCGGCCTGTCAGAAAAAAGACTATTTGGTGGGCAGAGACGGGGTGTTTCAATATTGCCATGGGAATGGATACCACACTTGACGCTCTGGACAACGAAGAGGGACACGCTAGGTGGCTTTCTTGAGAAAATGCCTGTAGGGGCGAGGGGGTACGTGTTTACAACGTGTTGCCACCGCCGCCTTTTCCTGCCCACATGCTTTTCTTGACTTTTTGGCCCCTGGTCACCGTATGTGCTGATCAGTGCTTGGATGGCACTTGGATTGCCTACCCTGCAACACTTGGGATGGAGCTGGCCCCTACTTCTCCTTGGGTCTGTGTGTTTTTGTTTGGGTTCCCCCCTTTGTTCTGTTTTGGTCTCCCTGGCCACGTACCACAGGCTTCCTCTGATGGAGTTGCCAGCCGGTCAGCCGCATGTTGAGTCAGGCGGCCTGCCTGCCTGCCTTGCCTTGCCTTGCCTTGCCTTGCCTTGCCTTGCCTTGCCTTGCCTTGCCTTGCCTTGCCTTGCCTTGCCCTGCCTGCCTGCCAGAGAACTGCGTTTGCGAAACAGCTGGTTCTTAAGTTACTTCCAATCCTCTGCCAACTTGGTCCAACTCTCCCTGCCAACTTGGTCCAACTCTCCCTGCCTGGCTGTTACTTCCACCCCTAACCTCTTGGTGAATTACCGGTTCCCCCTCCCCCTCCCCTAAAAAGAAAGAAAGAGCAGAATAACAACTTAGAGACAAACCCGTGCGGATTCTTGCTTTTTCTGCTTTGTCTAAACAGCGGGCGCTGTGAGGAGGTGGCAAAGACCCCACACTTCGAGGCGTTGCTGTCGGTGACCATCTCCCATCCCAACCTGGTGCAGACCTTCAAGCGCCTGGGCATGTCTCATGCTGTGGGTCGATTTGCCTCCGTTTGGCTTTGCAACGAAGAAGAGAAAGCAGTGTGAAGCAGTTTGTCCGTTTTTTTCTGCTGATTTTGGTTGACAGCAAATGGAGTGCACTGGTTTCAGAGTTTGGCCCAGTTTTTCTCATGTTCCGGTGCAATTCATCTATGCTGTGGCGAAATATCAACAGATTCCACTGGTTTCAGTTTACCAGAACGTAGGGGCGGGACTTACATTGTTGCGCGGATTTCTGGCAAGCTCGCCGATCGGGGGGGGGGACATGCAATGTACCCAATGATGGAGATTCCTTGCTGGGGGATTTCACTATGAGTCATGCCAGTCATACTGCTAGACGTCTGTGTAGAATGTCGACAGTTGATTCGTATTAGTGGTTGGATTCCTTTCTGCGAGGCCAGGTTCCTGATGTTCGGGGTGAATGAATCAGGAGTCAACATGGTGCTTGAAGTCTCGTTACCACCCAAGAAAAAGTGCCCCACTCGAGACTCAAGTTCTTTCCGGGAATGACTCAACACCAGAGTATGAGGGCCTTTGGGAGCTGAATGACCTCACAAATGTTCAAGTTTCCACAAAGACTATATAGAAAAGGAATGCGCCAACCCCGCTGTTCAACGAATACGGAGGGGGAACCACATCCATTCAGGCGGGCAGTTTCATATGATTGGTCATGGCGTCCCGTGGGTAAAGCCAAGACCACGTCATGTATGCGAGTTTTGACACATTCCCATGCACTTAGGGCAAATGCCATCCATCCCTCTGGGTATACCCCTGGGGTTGGCCCCACAACTTGTCCGGAAATTATTCACATTTTTGGCAAATCACAAACACCACGGTGTCCACCCAAATTGTGCTCATAGGAAACAAAGTGTCTGTTTTACTTGCAGGCTACATAGCTTGGCCATGAGGCACGGGGGCCGAGTCATCGAGATGAACTCGGAGGAGAAGGCCGTCGCGAGTATGCACGAGACCTGGATTGTGCAGGCACGGGGGGCGGCCTCTTGACACTTGGGGAAATACGATTAGTTGCGGTCAAAGCATTTGTTTTCACCAAGGGGATGAAAAGGCGAACCATCGCAGGGTCCGGGAGAAGAGGAGTTGGGATACGATTTGCTTTGCACTTTTCAGATGAAACAAGTTCTTCGTAAACACTGGACAACGTTTTATGACGGCCTACATCTCATCATGTTTTCAGTTGTGCAAAGCTGGACACCCACCCAGATGAGTCCTTTCAATATATCCTGATTGGACACAAATGAAGGCAATCTGGTCCTCAAACAGGTAGCAAAGGTTGGACCCGAATTGCCAGATAGATTTGTCGGTCAAGCGCTTGGTCAATGCCCTGAGAATGCGCTGGCCTGGTGGAAGCCAGACCCAATCGTGTGTGGTTCCGGTTGTTGCGCAAGTCTTGTAGTTTTCTTCAATTCGTGGTTCTGCTCATCTGGCAATACACACCCTGTTGAAACTGCGTGGTGATCAAACCATTCCTTGACTCTCCTTGCCCCATGCCCCGGCAGAACAAATAAGCGCATGCAAGAAGCAAAATATAAACACCAAAAACACATCTCCAGCCAAAAACAAGCGAATCCAGCCAAAAACCCACTGGCCCTCGCCAGGAGTGGTGCGACGGCGGGACCTTGCGCGCCAATTGCAAGATGCCCCGCAACGAGGACGTCGCATTTCTGGAGGCGATGCAGACCTTCGGCGGAAGGTTTTTGCGCAGTGGAGCCCACGAGAGCCCACCGGGTTTGCAATTGCAAGGCGCGAACAGGTGTTGGTTTTTGGACCTCAAGGGTTCGTAATTAGGGGGTCCCGGAGGAAAAAAGTTGGATTGCTCTTTTGGATGCTTCTGATGTCGGAAGCCACGGGGAGACAAAATCGGAGCCCCTGTATTTGCAGGCACCCTGCATGTGTGTTGCGGAGTGAGCCCATTGTATTTGACTCTTGGATCCACTCAAAGCACACCGTTTGGACAGGTTCCAAGTTGAACACAGCACCTTCCATGCGGGGAGGGGGTGCAACAGAATGGGTTGCTGGTTTTGGAGCTTCTTTCTATTGCCATTTGAACAACTCCGAAGCAGACTCTGCAATGCTAAACTGGAATTGATAAATGCGGGGTGTCCCATTTTAGAGGAGATCCCTTGTATGGCGCACACACTCCCCACTTTGCCACACGCCACGCGCAACTCTCTTCGAGGGTATCCTTTTTGGGATTGGTGTGAGGGAAACCCAAAGAAGCCTTCAGTTTCCAAAACTCTGAAAGTCAGCGGGTCCAGCTATATTGTCAACTTTTTGCTTTGACCATCAGCTTTCGGGGGAAGTTGAGTTCCCTTTGTGATAGTATCGCGTGGTGGGGAAATAGAGTGGAAGAGCAGGGTGGGTAAGAGGAGCTTCTGGTAAGGGATAAAGAGGACCAATCTTTAGCGACTGGGAAACTGTGGTAGTGCAAGTGTTTTGTGAATTTGACGTTTATATGTTGAGCACTACACAGGGTCCCCTGTTCTAAAACTTAAAGGGGGCCAATTTGGTTTGGTGCCCTTTTGTTTGCTTCTCCTACCTTGTGTCTTCCGCCGGAGCACGAGATCTCAGGATCTGCATCGAGATCTCGCGGGCTGGGCAGTACCTGCATGACATTGGGCTCATCCACGGGGACTTGACGGCCAACAACGTGCTGCTGAAGTCCATGCGCTTTGCCTGGAAATTGCATAACTTTTAAGATCTAGTTACTGTTGGTGCTCGGTAAACCTCAAAACCACGCCTTGAGACTTTCAAGCTTTGGTTTGTGGCTGGCTTGTTTAGCACGGGTGCCTGGCAGCCACAAGGGGCAGGCCAACACAGTTGGCGATGTCGAGATTGCTGACTCCACTTAGCCCTTCCAGGGTATGTCGCAGACTCCACTGCAGATTGACATTTCCACCTAACCAACCATCATTTCTCGAGGATTCTCCTTTTTGGAATTGGACCAATTTTACCCCAAGATCATGGTCCATAAAAGGTTTCATCTGCCCGTTGACCCTTTACGCTTCCAGCTGGTACAGCAGGCGGTTTTTGGATGTACCGGGACTCTGCAGATAGATCCTAACGTTTTCGTCATATCCCGACTCTGAGGCCGGTGGCCAAGGGCTACGTCTGCAAGGTCTGCGACTTCGGACTGGCGCGAGTGCTGGGTGAGAGCAAGGCGCCGGACGGTTTGCTTAGCTTGTCTTGTGGGTGTTGGTTGCTCTTTGTTGCCGACTGTTGGTTTTTGTTCTTGATGCCTGCTCGTTGGTTTTGTTGGTTCTTGTTGCTTTTTCCGGCTTGCCTTAAGGATACTGTTGAAATCACCATTCACCAGCTGATTCAGAGAATCTCCTTTTGAAACTGCAATCTTGGGATGTCTCTTTTTGGGGAGCCCTTTTTTGTTGGTCCTCCAGGTGGTTGTTTCTGGTTGGACAGCAAAGACTCGGCCGATCCCGAGCCCTGGATCTTGTGGAATTGGTGGGTTTGCTACTTGGTTTGATCACAAGCAAAAGAAAGTTTGGCTGTTGACATTTTTGAAACCTTAGGCCGGCTTTTTTGGTGTGTGTGTGTGGTTTGTTGGCAAACAAACCTAGCTCCGAACAGCTTTAGATGGGGTTGTCTTGTTCGACCACGAACATAAGCAGCGAGACCTTCCACGCAACGATTTGGACGCCTCAGCCCTAGTGTTGCCCGCTTCGGTGTGATGACGCGGGAGCAATGGTGACTTGTAAAGGTTTCCTTTGTTCATCCGCCAAACTGCGTTTGACTTTAGCTTGGACGCACCCAGGTTCTCTTCAGTTGCACCGCACAACTTGCTGGAATTCTCGGGCCCTTGGTGAAGCAAAACGACTTGACATTTTAATGTTGACTTCCAACTTGTCGTCAACCCTCGGCTTCACGGCCAATCAAAAGGACTTGCAACTTTTGACCTTTACCTTCTTGGACACCTCAGCGCCTTTGCGCTTGCGTGTTAGGTTCGACCGCATTTGAAATGAACTTTTTGAGCATGGCCTCCTCTTGCCCCCTTTATCCTCAGCAAGCAAATTGCTCTTTATAAGCTTTAAGTATTCATTGACATAGCTGGACACCTCAGCCCCACACAAACACGCGGCTTTGACTGAAGTTTAACGAGTTGGACACCTAAAGCCAGTGTTGTGGCTCTTCGTTTCAACTCAACAAGCAGAATGTGTTTCGAGTGCTGGCCAACAAGTTGCCGGTTGTGACGACGAAGGACCACATTGGGTTCCATGTCGGTTTGTTTCGAGCAGCGCCAGAAACCATTTTTGGTCGAGCCCAATCAAGGACGTTTTTTGCTTTTGGGGAATTCTAGGAATCTGTTCCCGTTGACTGGGGAATCTTTTACTGCCGTGGCCAGCTGAAGCATCTTAGGGGTCTTCGTGGGACCCCACAAATCCCCAATGTGTCTATCTGCGTCCACGGATCAATTTGACGGATGACTTTGCCGCCTTGCCAGGTGCCTACTGTTAGCAATCAGACCATAGCGCTAGCAAAGCATCACTGGCATGTGCAAAACGGCGCCAGGGTGGTTGTAGACGTAGACCATTATCACTCCAGATTGCCACGTTCTGTTAGAAGCCATGAGAATCTCCCCCGTTGTAAAGTAGTCATGGTTGGAATCAGCCACTTTGATACGACAGACAAGGGCAACCACTTGGCGCCAGCATGAACAGGGCAAACAAATAGGTTCCCAGGCGCACTGGCGAAAAATGGCGTGTGTTGACCACCGTGATCAGACAAGGCCAAGCCTATTTGTTTTCCCAATCATAGCCACCTCACCTAGGGCGTGCGTGACCTCATCCATGGTGATGGCTCCCCCTTTTTTAGGCTGGCAAATCACGATAACTATGCTTCACATATTTTGAAGGCTGTATGCTTTACTGATCATGAAATTCAGCAGGTCAATGCAACAGAAGCCGAAAGGAGCTTGTTGACAGAATCGCAGTTCAAACATTCAGGAGGCATTGAACATTGATTCAAACCAGCAAGCTGCCATGCCCCCTGTTGCTCCGGAAACTGTTCGGATTACTTTCAAGAGAAGCAAAGGTACATCAGGAGGAAGTTCACGAGCTCCTTTACAGGTGGGGGGTGGGTTATCGGGTTATTTTATATATTTGTTTCTCTTTTTTTCATGGCGCTCTTTTTGGGTTATTTCTGGGTTTCCAAAACTGATTTGGCAGTTTTTGTATCCCTGTCTCAGTCGCTGGACAGGATATTATCACCAACACTCTGGGCACGGTCACGCACATGCCTCCGGAGCTCTTGAGCGTATCGGAGAAGTGCTTCGGCCTGGACCGAGCCATCAAACCATATGCCGGTGATCCAGTTACATCTTGGCAATTTTGTCAACTTCATGATCGCTTACCAACCACTTCCGGATCACTGATGAAGCATGTGTTATTCTTGCAAAGATGTCACCAGCTTTGTCTGTTGAACGATCAAAAGGCTGATGTTAGGTTGGGACTAAGATTCGGTGGCTGCGGTCCATGTCCAGTCCCTCTAAACATTGAAGCACGTGTTTTGGAGCTAAATCACAATGGCACTGACGGAAATCTCAAAAGGGTGACCTTGGGTCACCCTTGTGATCTCGCACAGCTTGTGGAAGTTCTCTCACCAGGGTTGGGCGATTCACCCCCTAACATGTTTGAGAAGGTCTTGAAGCGATATCAAGAGGGATTTCCCTCTTAGCGACTCGCTGATGGTACCAGAGTTGCAACTTGCGAGGTGCTCTTTGACCCAGAAGGCGGACGTGTACGCGCTGGGCATCATTGCTTATCAAGTGATCACAGGCCCGGAACAGATCGCGGTGATTCGATGAATCCCCCCCAGTTTCACAGAGTCGGCCGTCATTTGGGTGGCCCAAAACGAAATCTGGGAGGGGGTAGACGGGTGGTGTGCTTTCACCCCTTGTCAAGTGCCATGTTAGTGGGAGGGCGGGTATTTAACAGGCTTTTCCCTGCAGATGAGCCTCATCCAGTTGTTCAGTGGATTCCAAACTCCCTTGTTGTTTGGTTGCGGGAGCGGTGTTGCCCCGATGGCCTCTGAAATGAGAGGCGCTGAGGTTGGGGTTGAATGCTTCCCATGGGTCAGCTTGGGAGGCTTCTTCTGAGGGGTCTCCTGGGTTTCCATCAAGCGACTCGGGCCCTGAGGCCAGCAGCCCTTTGCCGGGATGTCTCCTCCGCAGGCGGATGCGTGAGGGAGGGTACGGGTTCGGAGAGACACCCAAAATTCGTGAGGTGTTTCTTGTGGCTTCCCCTTGCAAATAACCCCTACGCAGAGTCCTTCAAAACAGGTCGTATACAAATTTCAGAGACCCCCAAAGTGGCGTGGTTTCCATTTGGTTTCTCTGGAAAGCCAACCGAAAAGGGGAACCGTCCCCATGTTTGGATCGATGTATCCACGTTGTGCAGCCTCTAGCTCAGGCCGACAGAATGCCCCTTCATCACGCCTGAAACACCATTTTTTGCCGCGACTCAACAACATTTCGCATGTTTGGACGGTTGAACACTCACCTGGTGGCCAATCTGAAGTTGTGGAAGCGTTTTTCCAGCTCCGTGTAAATTTGCAGGAGGGTATTGGTTCATTGACAAGAGCCAATTTATCGCTTACCACAAAAGACAGTCCATTCCCAGCTAAGAATTTGTGGTCCTGACAAGGCTTGTTAACCCCCTCACCACGAGGGTGTTGTTTTGGCGAATGCGTTCTTAGCCAACTACTTTTATATTTGTACGTGTGTGTGTGTGTGTGTGTGTTGAGACCAACCCTTTGATTGGTTTAAAGGCGAACCAAACGGAGAACCTCCATTTGGGGGTCCCCCGATTGGAACATACCTATTTGGATGAATCTTAAGGGCGAGGGGGCCAAAAGGTGTTTGCTCCCTTTGGTTTCTCGCAAGCATCCACGAAAGCAGCCCATATACAGTTGTCCAATATTCTGAGCCTTCTCCCCAGTTCTTCGGGTGCCCATATTTGTTGCTGGTACCGCCGTCAGGAACCTGGTGGTTCCGTTATTTTTGTTTGTGTCATTACTTTTCACATGTATTAATACATGTTTCATGTTCGTTCACGTTTTTTCTTTGTTTTCATGTGGCACACGCGCCCGCGCGCATCCACGACCGCTGCATGCATGCTGGCACAAATGTTAAAATCACCCGCCCACGCGCATCCCCGACCGCTGCATGCATGCTGGCACAAGTGCCGCCCACGCGCATCCGACCGCTGCATACATGCTGGCACAAATGTGAATACACCCACCCACGCGCATCCCCGACCGCTGCATGCTGGCACAAATGTTAATCCACCCGCCAACGCGCATCCACGACCGCTGCACGCATGCTGCCACAAATGTTAATACACCCGCCCACGCGCATCCTTAACGGCTGCGCGCGTGCTGGCACACATGTCAATACACCCGCGCACGCATATCCTTAACGGCTGCGCGCATGCTGGCACAAATGTTAATACACCTGCCCACGCACATCCACGACCGCTGCACGCATGCTGGCGCAAATGTTAACACACGCCCACGCGCATTCGCGAGCGCTGCAAGCACGCCGGCAGAAATGTTAACATAGACACGCCCACGTGCATCCACGACCGCTGCATGCTGGAGCAAATGTTAATACACCCGCCCACGCCCATCCACGACCGATGTTCTTGCAACCCACACTTGAAACTGAACAGGATGTTGTTGCAATACATGACTTGAACCTTCACTGATTGATGTTGACCTTTTCAGCTGCCGCGATACAACATTTGTCTAAAACGATTTAGTTTCTTGAAGTTGTTATTAACCAGTTGTTGAAACCTTTTGCTGATTTCGCTGGCCGGCGCAGTGAATTCTGAAAATAGGAGGCTTTTTTCGCGCCAGGCGACTCGCGGCGGGGTGACCTATTTGTTTGAGTTCTTTTAGGGAAGCAATGACAAACGGCAAGACCGTTTTAGCCAGGAGTCATTTTTTTGCTTCTCATCTCGCCAGGTGGTGATTCAGGTGGCGCGAGGCCGACGCCCTTCGCTGCCGCCCATCCCCGCTGCCATCGAGCAGCGGTTTACGGAGGCGAATTCACCCGAGTTGGGGGGAGGGGGGGGGATACTTGGGAGCTCCCTATATGTACATAGAGCCCAAAAGCCATGAAGCTATGTTTTGTAAATTTCGAGGTTTGACTCTGGCCAAGAATCAACAACACACGTTGGTTGGAGAAGGGCAGAACATTGGTTTCGTTTTGGTTTTTGGTTTCTCTTTACCAAGGCACAAACAAAATCTACTTTTTGCGGTCTTCGGAAAAAAAGTTTTCTGTAGGGTGTTGCGGTTTTAGGGGTTGAGTCTGCAACATAGACCCTGTGTGCCCGTGGTGTTGGGCGCGGGGGGGGGAGCGCATGGCGGTGGTTAAGATTCACGACCAGGGAGTGGGTTGAGAGCAACCGTTGGAAGTTTGCATTGGAAAGAAAGAGCCTTTGGTGAAGAAATGTAACGCAAGATGGAGCCACTTGGAGCTCCAATCTGAGGAGTGAGGCAGCCTTTTCATACCCCGAGATTTGGCCGATATCCTCGGCTTCCCTCCAAAATCCTAGGTCATCTTGCTACCCCTTGGCCAGTGAAGGCCCTCTGACAGGTCATCGGGGACCGACCGAACTGCAAGTTTCTGACTGAACACATACGCTGCAGCTCACATTGGATCAGCCTTGCCCAAGCATCGCCCCTGATTGACAAGAAGCATGGCATGGCCTGTTTATCGTTGCCAACAGGACCGACCCTTTTTCTCGACCCCCATGGCCAAACAGGGCGATTGTTATCGTCAACGCTCGTCTCTGTACGGACATGCAGCTTCCAGACGTCCACTTCGGAAACGCCAGTTTTCGTCCTATCAGCGTGGACATCTGGTTGGGCCCCGGCTTGTGTTGGACGTCATCCTTTGGGCCGACTCAAGGTCAGCTTTTTTGTGGCGACCCTCAAAGGATCTATAGGTAGCTGGAAACGAGTGCTGGGCATTTGGGCCAAGTCAAAGGTTCCGTTTGGCTGGCCGGTGATGATTTGGTTGGACGTCCTGTCGGCCTCCTTTCAGGCTGATTTCAGGTGGGTTCCTTGCGGTGGGCTAATAGATGATATTTGAGAAAAATCATCTCAGACTGGATCTCAGAAAACAAGAAAGGATTTGGTTACCTAGTGGAGCCCTGTCTCTCCGTGTTCAGCGAGCCGCATGGGGCGTTTTGTCAGGTCTTCAAGAGCACCTTGTCGGCAAAGCCGCAAGACCGGCCGAGCTTCAACGACCTCGCGACTTGGCCAATGGGAAGAATGTGCACATCAACCAAGGAGCCCGGCCAGAGTTTGCGTTGGGTATCCCGGGTTTAATCTACTTGCATTGCTCGTGTTCTTTCAGCTCATTTGGGCCTTGGTTGGCCTTATTTGCCCTCGTTTAGTGGCCTGGTGGTCCTCTCTTTTCCATCGGTATGCCGAAGGATCTTCTTCCTTGCCTTTCCCTTCTGTGACCTTCCTTGTTGCCATATCATCCTGTCTTCTTCCCTCCTTTATCCCATTTGTCTTCCCTATCGATATCGAATCATTGGTTTGCCCCAAGCCGCTTGGGGAGGTCCGTGGACCGGTGGGGAAGGGGCCGATGATTTGGAGCCCTGTCTAAGCCCGGAACAAGCCCATAATCAAAGACTCTTTGATTTCTCAGTCTGTTGGCATTGGCCTTGGCTTCTTGTTTCTAGGCCGTCCGCATACTGTCTTTGCAGCCACTTGGTAAATGCCCGGTGATCAGGGGCCAAATGAGGAGCCCCTGCAGCCGCGAAAGGTGTTATCTGTGGATTTTTCATTGATTCTTGTGCTTCCAACAAGTTGCGGACTTTTGTGGGCGCGGGAAAGCAAAAGCCACAATCAAAAACTGGGTGGTTGCAGTTTCAGGTACACTCCAAACTATAGGCAGATGGGTAGTGGATACTAACACCCCAAACGTTCTTTACCAAGACTTCGATGTGGGTGGAGTGCTTTTTGAGGGTACCCAAATTATTTGGGGCTGTAAAGGCAAGCCACAAAGAACCCATATATTTGCAGGGCCCCCCCAGAGAGCGCCAGGTGAAGTTTCTCACCGGGCTCTTGCACGACCTTGGCGGGGACGAAGGGTCACTTTGCTAAAGAGCCAACCACTTTGCAACCAGCTTCTTTCTTCCGGGTCCATCCAAGTGCACATCTCTTTCAGAGAGGTTCGCAGTATTACTTTGGTAAAGGGTTGGTTCCTTTGCATGACCATTTAAGGGGTAGCTTGAGGATGTCACTCTGATGGACCCAGTTCTGGCATTTTTTTGGATCTTCATTCCAGGGATCGTTCTTTGAGCATCCTTTTCGAGCTGTCCCTCACGAAGCGGTTTCTCACTTGCAAGCATGGGCATTTCAAAATCAGTCTTTTGGGTGTTCTCAGTCGTCGGAATGGATTCTTCTGTAAAGTGGCAAAATGCCGCGCAAAGTTTGGTCCTCCAATAAGATTGTGGAATCACCCACTTTGACCTTGCCAGTTTCCCCTTTTCGGTTTGTTTGCCATGTTTTCCGTCTCTAAGAGATGCTCACCTGTTCTTTTTGTTCCTTGGGCAAGTGAGGTATATTGTACCCTCGGAACCCCAGCTCTACCGGCAGTCAGGATCTGCGCCTAGCGGTTAGAAACGAGTCCTGAAAAGAGCAGAGTCTCCACCAGGGGCCAGGAACAGGGGCAGAATCACAACCCATATCCGAGCCCAGGTTGGTTTTCAGAAGAATCAGCTCACGTGGGGCTTTCTCCAAATGGTGTACCCCCTTGGTAACAGAAGCGAAGCCAAAAGGATAGCAGTTTTAGGGACCATTTTGAGAACCCCCCACATGAGTTGAAAGTTGAAACTGCCGAGACTGGCCCTGGGTTCTTTCGGGATCGGCTGCTTTCTGTGAGCATTGAACTCACGTGATGTCGAGCCGACCGGCGAGGGCTGTGCCCCAAATTGCCAAAAGGCAAACGCTTTGCTCCGCCTCAGGGAGATTAACATCGCACTTGAAAGCGATGTTTGGGACGGAATTGAAACCTCACACAGGGATTTGGTGGCATGCCCGTGAAGGTTCCTGTCTTGGCTCCGTTGTTTCAAGTTATCAAGAGTTGAGTGCATCCCGGATGTGCTGCACAGTTGACAAATCGACATAATTCATCTAGATCATATGGCGTGACCATGCAAAACTTTGCAATCAGCTCGGTAGGATGTCTGAGCCCTGCTCGAATTCATGAAAGTGGCAAACTGCCCATCCCATTTACGATTTAACTGGGGGGTCAGTGTTTGTGCCATGTTTTCTTTTGTGGCCTGCCGAAGCAGGGCCACCACGTGTAGTTTGCCAACCAAGCACACGATTTCAACCTCGCACACCTGATAGTTTTCGTCTCCTAAGGAGGGAGTACCCCTAGAACTCCCTTAAAACATCAACGCCTCACCCGAAATGGTCAGAAGACAAGACTCCATCAAGTGCTTTTGCATCACATCCAGGCAAGACGGCGAAGGGTTTTACCCCTGAGAGACAATAGCGTCTCCTCCCACTCGATTGGAAAGGAGAAAGGGCGCCGCCGCGCGGTGTTTCGCAGGTGTCCAACTGCTGTCAGATTTCCCTTTCCTGAACAACATATCGCCCTTTGGGAATCTTTTTGGCCAATGAAGTCAACAAGTCAAGCAGTTTCGTGCGGTTGAACATGACCTTGTCTTGCAAGGTTTGTGCCATGGCCAGTGGGCGAGTTAGCTTGGCCAGCGACCGTTTGCCTTTTCCAGGTGGTTTCGGCTTTTGCAACAAGGTTTGTCAGAGCCTTGACGGATGCCGCAACTCACCGTGACAGGAGGATTGGCTTGTAGCTGGATACAGGGAACTCCTTTTTCTGTTTGTTTGTATGTTTGTTTGCATGCGATGATCCACAATTGTTTAGTTACAAAAGAATAAATCAATACGAATCATTACAGGGAGGGTCCATATCCATTGTTAGGGGAAAGGGAGAATGTCGAGTCTTGGGTTGTACCTTTGAGGGGGCCTCAAAAGGTGTGATTAAACAAATCTTGAACATGAACAAAGCGGCATATTGAGCCACAAAAACTATTTCATTTGCAATCAAATTCAGGGTCCTATTTGCTCCCCCACTTGCAACGTTCAAGGCATCCGCGTTCCAACTTTCTGTGTTGTCGCCCCAAGTGTCACAACATACTTCGAGGCCTGGGGACAGTTCCATTTGGCCTGGAAGCATCTTGTGATATTTGGTGGGTGGTAACAAAAAAAACACAAACGAACGAACAAACAGCCCAAACAAAATACAAACAAAGCAAAGCAAACAAGCAAACAACCAACCAAACAAGCAAACAACCAACCAAACAACCAAACAAACTAGCTAGCTAGCTAGCTAACTAACTAACTATCAAACAGTGATAAACCAAAAACAACAACAACTTTTCAGTGATTCTGCCGCTTGGCATGTCAACATGCTGAGAGGTCCCAAATTGTTAAACACAGGGTGCCAAAAGCATAGGGACTCCTCAGTGCTTTCAGCTTCCAGCTCAACATGCTGAGGTGTCGGTGATTCTTGTATGCATCTGGAGTCGGCAAGTGCTGTTCTGTCCCTAACGAATCCTAAAACCCCCAATTGTTGTAAGACATTTGAGAAAGTTACGCCAAGACTGCCCCATACTGGGCTTTCAGCTAAAGCGCGGCGCCGGGGTGCATCTTGCAACAGCACTTCACCTCAGGATGTTGCGCAGATGTTGTTGATTTCAGAAGGGACAGCCTTTTCAGATGCTGCTTGATATTGTTCGGGCTTGGAATTATGTTCTGTCTTCCGTACTGCGCTTATTGCTTCAAACATAAACATGATCATACAATATTATATAGTAGATATACATATATATATATATGTATCTATACACGTATACACTCGTGTACATACATGTACGCTTGAGTGATGATAATGATAGTATGCATAATTACAGCATAGTCAAGCTAATGATGATCATAATAGTAACAACAATCATAAATACACCAAGAATAAGGTGTGTGTATAGATACATAGATATATATATATATATGCCAATCTTTACGCATAGTGAATAAGTGCACTACCTATGGCGAGCGAACAGATGGGGGGCAAACTGAGCGCCAAACGCATGAAGGTCACCCCTTGAATCCAAGTCCATGCTGTGGCCGCGTTTGCCAATTCAAGAGAGTCAGCCGTGGCTTTAGCGGGCGTAACCAGATCTCCTTGGGTCGAACTCAGGGCTAATTTCATGCGCAGAATGTTTTGGCCGGGGTAGCCGGTGTCAGCTTTCTTAGATGAAAGCATTGGGGCTATGGTAGGGTGTTCGCCGGGGGCCAAGGTTGACCGGAAGGCTCACTCCATGATTTGGCCGGGCCCTGAGGAGTGACGGGCAAGCAAAAATTGCGCAAGTACCCGAGCCTGGCAAATGTGGCCGTGGGTCATCTGTGTCGTTCCCCCCCGTTTGGATCCCGATGCTTCAGACCGTTTGATTGGGATACCCAAATTTGGGGATGCATTCGGGAGGCAGCTCAGTTAATTCTGGTTCCGTGCATCGCTACACCTGCGGGATAGCACAGCCTTCCGAAGCCCCGCAGGTCCGGCTTAAACGTCATGACAGATTCTTGTTTGGATCGTTTAAGAAGGCAGCAGCCGTTTCTTAGAGATCTTCGACCATGGCCCTGGTTGAAATCGGATCAATTGGCTGCGCAGGGAAACAAGCAGGGTTTGCTTGCTCCCACGGGAAAACGAGCAAATTGACCGGATTGGTTTTTTGAGATTTTCCGGTGGCCCGCAGCCTGAATCAGGTCTTTGGACTATGACAAGCGCTCCGATGTGGATGACATCAAGGGTATGTGGTGAGCCCCTGACGTCTTGGGGGTCGGCAGTTGTCATGGGGCTCATTGAGACTGACTCTGGCAGTTCCTTCCCACCAAGTAGCATGGAAGTGCACAGGATCCATTGTGAAGACTAAACTGTCCTCCTGGAAAGGGGACCGCACGCTTCAGCGGAGGACCCTTTTGAATGGATCATTTCCGTGAACAGGGAAACCGCCCCATTTAAAAGGGTCCTCCGGATCAATCCGAAGTTGATATGTTTTATGATTTCAAGAAAACACAACGCAACAACAGCAGCTCCATGCAATCCGGGGTGCAAGTCGAAAGCTGCTGGAGGAATGAACTGCGAGGCAAGTACAGCCTGAAAATCAACATCAACATGGTGAATTTGAAGGAATCCAAAGGCCTGGCCACTTAGCCCTGTTGGAAACTTTAGGATCGGCCAAGGAATTTGCACAAGGGTTGCCATTTTGTTCCTCAGCTTCCGTCCGCAGGTTTGGAGACAAACCTCCACGGGGCCCGTCTCGGAATGAGGGACTCCTCCACATTGGCTTCCTTTGAAACATCCAAGCAGAAGCCAGAGATCCAAATCTGCGAACTGTCAGCCCCCATAGAAACTTTGGCAACTGGTTTGGTTTAAATTGGGGACCAAAGCGCCCCAAGCTTTGTGCGAGCCGTACGGCTCTTCCCTCCGGTGGCGGTAGGTACGTGGAGCCGCACCCGACCAAGGAGGGCTGGCCGGGATCTCAGAGCTCCAGGTGACCACAAGTGAAGCAAACGAAACCCCAATGGTTCAGTGGCCGTGAATGGCAGCCCCAGCGGAACCGTCACGCAGAACTTGATCTTGAGCGGTGGAACGGTGGAACGACACCGCGCGCTCTTGAGGAGTGCCCGGAGCAGCCATGGCCTGACATTACACTGGAGCAGTGGCTCCGTACCATCCGTAGCAAGGAGGTAACCGCGGCTGCGGGTCCAGAGTCCCGTACTGACGTCCTTCGAATGCCCAAGCTTTCCTACAAGAAGTGCGTCACTCAGAGGCCATGCGCACAGAGGCCGATCCAAATGGTCACAACTCATTGGAAAAGGTGGCGGACTCCAGCCGAGTTCAGCAGTATAGACCCACAACCGTTTTGCTTTGACTTGCAGAGTCTGGCATTCTGGCCTCTTCGGGAAGATCCTGCGTAGGCACACAAGAAAGTTGTGGTGGCATCTGCAGGCACGCATCGCTGCAGCAATTGACGAAGGAGCCACAGATTGTGGGCTGGTGTGCAACCTCCAAAAACACGCTGCCAAGATGGCCAATTCTTCAGGCGGCCATTCGCCTTGGTCTGCCTAACGCCGTTGCGCGCGGATGGTTCGGTGCCCTCAGCCCCATGATTCATGTGAGTGAGCCCGTAGGTACCCTACTGGCTTCCTTGAGGTTTGTGCCCTCAGTTGCGCCGCAATGCTTATCATCAGTTTGACGCTGGATGCCAGGCTGAAGACCGTGACGCCTCAGGCGGAGCCACTTACATGCGTGGATGTCTCGTCGGGCAGGGCTGATGGCCCAGAGGAGATGATCCAAGTTTGCTGCGGCCTTTGACATTCGCCTGGACCTTGATACGCACACACCTGGAGCGTCCATGCAAAAAGTAGGGCTGTATTGGCTGCTGGTTGTAATGTATGTCGCTGAGCTCATGACTTGGGTGCCCACATGCAGTACACTGCCTGCCGCCGCTATAGATCGGTTTGAGAACTTCAAGCTGGTCGAGCCACCCCAATGTGACCCGGCATTTCATGCCTTCCGTGACAGCGCGCGTGACTATCGTCTCGTGTTTGCGTCAGCCTAGTGCGTGCTGCAGGCAAGTTTAATGTTTGTCGCCCG